CGGTTTCGAACACGCCTGTTGGTGGTGCGGTAGACCGCGCCCAAAGCCAGAGCCCCGGTAACGTGAGGTAGCCGAGTCGGGACAGCGTGCGCTGACCCAAGCCGGGGCCGCGCGTCCTCCCGGTGTCATGTGATAGCCCGGGGCTGCCCGGGGATGCGGTAGACCGCGCCCAAAGCCGCGGCCCCGGCTTGGGTCAGCGCACGCTGCCCCGACTCGGCTACCTCACGTTACCGGGGCCCTGGCTTTGGGCGCGGTCTACCGCAGGTGGCTTCTGCTCATACTTTGTGGTGCGGTGGTGGTGCGTCGGGCCGCGCGCTCTGACTTCGGCCAAGAAAAATGCGTCAGCTGATCATTGTCATTTCTGCCACTTTCATGTGGTGAGATGGGGTCATAACTTTAGAGACGGCTGTTTCATATCAATTATTTTACATAAAATCATATTTCAAACCATAAATTAATGTTCGACGGCTAAATTAAAGAAACAATACCAATACAGGCTTACAGTTTAAATTCGGCATTGTGTTGTCTACGATTAGACAGCTGATAACTCATTCCCGTACGTCGTAACTCTATAATGACCTTTGCTTATTGTCACATGTGCGCCGCATTCGCGATTGTTGCCGACGCCTGTTTGCAGGTCAGCCCACTACAGTTGTTATACATATCGAAAAACCGATAAACTTTTAGGCGAAAAAAAACACTATTTTAGGCCCATTTTTGATTTTTTTTGCGATATTAGGTAAAAACAGAAGCTTCTTATCCTAGGAAAAATAAAATGGAAAATCATTGAAAGGTGGCACACTACCTTTAAGAGCGATCCACATATAAAGTGCGTGGCGATTACTGCGATTACTGCACTATGTGACCCAGGAGCCGAGTTAGAAGGGGTACCGTAAACCGGGGTGAGTTGATATGGATTTTGAGGTTTTTCTAGATTTCTTTAAAAGCCACATTCATTTACGGAATTCTTTTTGTGCCAGTTTCATGGCACATGCCTTGGTGAGGCAATCAGCAAAAATGAATAAAAAAATGTATATATTAAGCCCATTTTTTAAAACGCCAAAGTTCATATCAACTCACCACCCCCAGGGGGTGAGTTGATATGGTTTTGGATTTTTCAAAATTTCTCGGCTAAAGAAGCTCAGAGGTGAGTTGATAAAATGCCAGTGTTTAAAAAAAGGATGAGAGAACACATCCTGAAAGAAACCATCAGAAAAATGGTAGTAGATTGGCAGCAGACCTCACATTCATGAAAACGCAATCATGTCCAACACAGCGCTATCAAAATGGCTTGATTTTAGCAGCATCATTTTTTCGCTTTATGATACTTAGTTTTACTTAGAACATTCTGAACTTGGCTAGTCATGTGTCCTCAAGCCAACGGTATCAAAACTGGCAATATATTTTGGAATTACAAGTGTATTTTCTTGTAGTTAAAACACATTGTCAGTTGCGGGTCAAGGTTGATATGCCTCTGACAGAGATAATGGATTGAAATGAAAGAATACATATACTTCTGAGCTTTTGTTGACTGGTAGTCAACAAAATATTAATGAAGTGAAGTGAAGCGAATCTAATTAGGACGTATTCTATAAGGTGAAATAAGCGACATAAAACAGAATTCGACATCAAAAGCCAAAATTAACCCTCGCATTTTTAGGCGCGCGAACAGACCACCTCGGCTTTTCGCACATAACTCGCGCAAAAAGCGGCCGATCGCGACGAAACTTTCAGTACTTCTCGTCAGTTTATCAATTTTACACATGTTCTAAAGATTTCATGACCCTGACTCAAATGGTTTTTGACTTGTGACCTGATTCTCGAGACCATGCTTGGCCGGAATCGCGATTTGGCGTAGTTGGCTCACATTATCCGCGCATTTCCAGTCTTTTTGTGATTGTAACGTCCAAACATGTAAATGATGTTAGTCCCACGCAGCATTGTGGGTGTCAACTGTCAAGGTCACCTGAAGGTCAGGTCAGGTCATTGACCTTTGGTGACCTCGGTTCACTTTTTGGAGTTTTACATGTTTCTAGGGTAGATTTTTTCGGGCCGATTTCGAATTTAAGATGCATTTGATCATTTACGAAGTAGTTTTAGTGCCTTCGTAACATGTTACGACACTGTCAGTGGTAGTTGACACTTGACACTCCCTATGGATAGCCGGCGCCCGGCAGGACACCTACTGGTTGACCTGACCTGACCTGACCTGGCCTAAATGTACGAAGACATCTGTGATCAAAACTAACATGACATTCGTGATCAGCAACAGCCAAAAAATAATAAATTCGATTTACGAACTTCAAATAACCCCCTATTTTCCCGACTTCTGGGTAATTGACCCGTCCTGGAAGGTTAACCAATGACCTAGGACCTTAAAGTTGGTTATCATCGGCTTCCTCGCGTCTCGGGCAACACGCTCATTTTTTTCCGCGAAGCTCTAGCTCCACCAGGGGCCAAACGACGATGGGATTCCAACGGACCCCCCCCCCCCCCCTATACGTTAAACGCTGGCAAAACACGAATACGGGCGGGGGCTAAAACACCAGTCAATTTCTTTATATTGTTTGTTCCATTTCATTTTGTCACTCATTCTCGGTTGGCAACTGCCAAGCAGGAAAACTAATCAGTTTCACGAGATCAGAATTCCCGCGCTGTTAGCCATACAGAAACGACAGTTCTGTCATTTTCGAAACTACGAATAATTATAACAATTTTTTTAATCTGTATGTATATAGGTGTTCTATAATGTTCCTTTGTAGCTTGTAGGGAGCCACCTTGAGACTTGACAGGGAGTCATGCTGTGCCTTTTGCATGTTAGGTATGTCCACAGAAAAAAACTTTGGGGTCACTGATGTTAGTTGTCGGACCTTCGTCCCCGTCTTGAGTTGAGATGTTAGTTTCACAACGTTTCGGCCAGTTACTCTCCGGCCGTCGTCACTCGTCAGGTATTCTTTGACCCTCAGAAGGACCTGGATGTTGGTGACGCCGTACGCGTCAAACAGTTCGAAAGCTCCTGTATTCAGCGGGAATCGAACTCGGGTTTCCCCGGTGATGGTCCACGGTTCTAACCACTCCACTATCGAGGCTAATTAGACTATGGCCGGAGAAGTTACTGGCTGAAACGTTGTGAAACTAACATCTCAACTCAAGACGGGGACGAAAGTCCGACAACTAACATCAGTGATATTAACAGGCCTCGTCTCAAGCATTCAGAAAAAAAACTTAAGCTTTTTGGGGTTGATGGAATGATGTGGGGAAAGAAAAGGAGAAGAGTTGGTCTAATTGACTTTGTCTTACCTGCAGACCCATATTTCATGCTAATTTGCATGCATACCAGCCTGGTATCAGCTTTTATCATGCCTATCAACTCACCCCTTGATGGCATATCAACTCACCACCTGTCACTTTTCTTAAAATTATAAAAAAGCGTTGTTATAGGTGAAACCCAACACTACCTGGGATCAACAGTAAATTGATGGTAGTTTCTTTCCCAGTGCATGTTGTTCCATGAATATCCACCGTCTTTGCTGTAGGGTGGGGACTTTTCCTTAGTTTCAAAATCAGAAGAAAAAAAGGACTTTGAAAAAAGTAATGTGTTAAGAAGGCACTGCACCACATGCATGTCTTTCTCAGCTATATGCATCACTTATTGGTTGCTTCACTTCACAGAAAAATAAAACTGAAAATTGGTTTACAAATGGATGAGCAGCACACATTTTAACATTTTTCGAGCAATTTATATCAACTCACCACCCCATATCAACTCACCCCGGTTTACGGTATTCAATCCCCTCCCCCCCCCCCCTGCACGACGCGGTTGGCGCCGAGCACCGGCCTGGCATGGGTTAGGAATAAGGATGCATATTTACTTTTTCTTTAGTGATGATATAACTAAAAGTGACCATCCAACCAACATTAGTTTTGAGTTGAGATAGCCAAATTGAGGTCCCTGACTCGCACTTATCGGTTTTGGCACTCACAGCATCGAGAAATGCTTCAATTCGAAGATAGGTATTTAACTTCAAAGTTGCAGCACTTTGGATTCTGAGGGGCTAATGCATTTGAATACCCCCTCTGAATTTGTGACGTCAGCACAGATCTAGCGATTTTGAAACCTTATACTAACATTTTTGTGAAGCAGTGGTGGTATGTGCTATTTGCGCGCAGCATCTGCCGCAAATGCTGCACTTTTTAAGATACCCAATTATTGTTTCCAAATGACATCGTATGGAACAGCGAAGGCTCCGAGAAATAAACAAAAGTAATTGTCTGATATCTCAAAAACCGGTTCGCATTTGTCAATTAAATTCGGTAGCTATTCATTTTTGGTCCATCTGAACCAAGCGATACCACTTTTATGCCAGTTCATTAACTTTTTTGAAGGTGGGAACTGGGAAGGTCCCTTTAACGTGACCTGGCTACTTTTGATTTCAATTCAGGTGACCCGAGTTTAAATATTCTTACTGTTGTAAAATGAATTATGGGACAATAAGTATGCCCATTGCCCAAACAATAAACGTTAACGTGGATAGCTTCTACTTTGAAATAGCTTCGAATCACTGGAGTGGTGATGAGTATAGGTATGCTTGCTTATTTTTCGTTTCTCATGATTGCCAAAAAGGAACCTACAAATTATCAGACATGATTGAGTTTTATTCACGATCGATGGCAACACAAGTCAAATTCCTAAAACCAGACGTTTCGGCCACAGGGTGCCTTCGTCAGTGGACACTAGTGATTAATTAAATTAAAAACACATAGTATCAAAAACAATCGGTATAAATCGTTCGAAGTCGACACATCGGGCGAAACATCGACGTCATGCCTGCATGGAGCGTTTTGAAAGTATTTTTGATTTTTTTGATGTCATCGTCATTGCCTACCCAAGTTATTCATAGGACATGCTTTGCCTCAAAACCAGGAAATAGTGGGTACCCACCGTGAGAATCCAGCTGCTGCCGCTAAATAGGGTCACGAAAACAAGATCTCAATGGCAGGGCCGGCGGGCTGAGTTCTGGATGGTTCCGGGAGGGGAGGGCACAGGGCCGCCCCTGCAGGCTCCGCCGGTGTCCACTGTCAGCGGAGGGCCGGTGGCGTGCCCCGGGGCTCGCTCGAGGGTAACAGCGCGGTGCCCCGGCCGGCGCGGGGTGCCAGTAGCGCGCAGAGGGGAGCCGCTGACCCCAGAGACCTGACGGGCGGCCGCGGCGTCCACCTGCAGAGGCCTGATGAACGGCTGCCGTGGTCCCGCCCGACGCCGATCAGCAGGTGGGTGCAGCTGCGAGGTCACTGTGATTTGATGGTTGTGTTCATGCACTTGCTTATGAATGACGTCGTCTTTGTTTTTGGAAATGCAGTTGTTAATTGTTATAGCTATGCTGACAGTAACGTAGTTTGCAAAATACCATGCACGGACATGAGTCTTCGCTGCCGTGCGTTCCATTTCTCAGGCGGCCGCTGCAAGAGACAACTGTTTGCTCGTAAACGATTTATGATTTAAATGTTAATCGCAAGCCATGACACATATTTTACATTTATGTCAACGGTAAATTCTGCAATTTTAATTTAAGAAACACATGACAGACATAGTAGATAAATGTGTGTCTGTAAATGTAAACTATTTGGAAAATACCGTAAAGTGGGGCTATTTGAGACAGTGGGGCTATTTGAGACAGTATTTAAAATCGCTATAAAATGAAGATCGTTTGATTTTTGTGTGATATTATTGCTCAGGGAGGTGTGGAATCGAGCAGTAAATCGCCTGAGCAAAAAATTAAGCATGAATTTTAAGTGATTTTTATTTTATAGCAATTTTAAATACTGTCTCAAATAGCCCCACTGTCTCAAATAGCCCCACCTTACGGTACTCATAATTAGGTCACCAGTGGTACATATGTATATGTTCAATAATGCTTGAGCAGAGATGCCTTCGCAAATGCTTGCTGGAATTTATTATGGAATAAGACGTTCAAAACTGGGCTGTGCTTTATACAAAGCACTTAAAATTTAACATATTGATGGGCACATTTCGTATATATTTTTAACCATTCATTTATTATGAATCATGTTTTTTTTGTAGTCGTTGAACCTAGAGCTGTTAATAGGAAGGCCGAGGTACCAATTTTTGGTGTTTACATCTATCATGATATAACCATATCAATGATAGGTATAGGTCCTAACTGATAAGATACAGACACTTAACCCGCGCGGGGCTGGGGGGGTAAATTTTACCCCCCCCCCCCTCGCGAATTTTTGCGATATCTCAAAAACGGCGGCGCGCAGCGCCGCCAAACTTTCTGTACCTTTTCTTACATCAATTTGACACGTTCCCTGAAAATTTGAGCGAAATCCGTCGGAAAATTTTTGAGAAATTGACGTTTTAGTGACGTCATGTTCGCCATTTTCGCCTCAAAAACGGCAAAAGTTCAAACGCCGCTAACATCTTCATTTTTAAAGAAAACAAGACGTAACAAAAAAGGTTATACGTAATTTTACTTTGTCTATCAAATGGCTATCTCGGTTTTTTGAAAATTTTGGATTTTGGCCTAAATTTTTTCAAAAAACTGACTTTTTTGGGAAAATCATTATAAAATCCAAAATTTTGAGTCTATCGAAAAAACCGGAATATATGTCAGAGAAGTGGTCTATGTGCACCTACATACCAAATTTTAGAAGAATCGGTTCAAAAATGTGGGAGTTATTCAAAATTTTATGACGTCACGACACACAATTTTTTTGAAAAATGACTTTTTTGGAAGTTCTAGACCTCGTACGAAAACAAAAGTAGCACCATTCGATTCGCCGTGAAAAACTGCATCAGATAGACACCCTTTTAGGCCTTAACAACCAACTTCAAAATTTGACATCACTTGACCTGACCTTGACCTGACCTCGACCTGAAACTCATCCAGAGGTGGTCCATATCACTTATTGAGTGTGCCTATTGCATTCTATGAGTAAAATGACCCATAAAACATGTGTCGCACATGCCCTTTTCTATATTTTGTTTTTTGGTGACCTGACCTGACCTGACCTTGACCTTGACCTCTGAATGATATTGTATGCAACGAATATTGTCTTGGTAGCCTAAGAACACGTTTTGGGCGATCAGTCTCAGTCCATGACTCCATTCTTCGGCAACTACGGTGCAAGGCCGATACTGTAGAAACTTGCAATTTGTACCCTTGACCTGACCTTGACCTTGACCTCAAACTTTAAATTAAGTACATGTTTTTAGTAGTTCGTGATGAGAGCTTTCGATTGGCGTTTGAATTTTCCAAATCGGACCATTAGTTCGGGAGATAACAGGGGGGGTAAAATTTACCCCCCCCCCCAGCCCCGCGCGTTCGGCTGGAGACCCCAGCCCCGCGCGGGTTAAATCAGTTACCGTCAACGAATAATAATAATAATTTCATACGCCTCTCAGCGATCAGAACCCGTGTCAAATACTCCGATTTCGTTATGTGTGACTTCATTGCAAACTATTTTCATTTCCAGTACCTATTTTTCTTCTTCAATGCAGTACCTATTTTTCTTCTTCAATGCAGTATATCGTATCGTTGTCTTCTCGGCTGACAAATGTCACAGTCATGTGGTCATTGGTCAAATGATAGATGAAGGCTTCACTGAGCAAAGCATAAATGCTCACCTTATCTAACGTTGTTAATTTTATTTCCTTTGTCATTTGTGAGCTTTTTCGCTTCAATTATTTTCCCTGAGGTTCCAAACGCGCTGTGTCTTATAGGCTGTACCGGGAGGCCGGCGTGCATTGCGGCACAGCATCATCGATTCGCCGCTTAGGTACACGAAACGGCTGTATTTGCTGAACGAATTGGGTGCTGACTGCTGTTCTTCGAAAGATATGCAACCAAGCGTTTTTTTGTAATCTTACAATTACAAACTAATGCTTCTTTTGAGTATGTATGACAGCCGTTTACGTTGTCTGTTTCCCAGTCCCTGTCAACCCGCATAACATATTTGCTCGCTGTTCAAAGTTACTGATCCCCTTCTTCTGTCCCCAGTCATGCTTGGTCCGGCTCTGCTGCTAGTGGCAACTCTCGGCATCTTGGGCACCATCACCACCGCCAGCACGAGGCCGCCTGTTCGATATGAGGCCTTCTTCGACCAAGCGCTGAGCAGGCCGGCCTGGCGGGAGCCGGCACCGCTCCGCTCCGGACTCCGACCCCCGCCGGTCGGTCCTCCCGCTCAGCCTCCGGCCCGGCCTGCAGCTCGATCTCCATTGCGTCCTGCCGCTCAGCCGCCAAGTGTCGACTCAAACGCCGTTCCGAACCGCCGAGGACCCGTCGCCCTCCCTCTGATCAACACGGAGAACGTCAAGCGGCCCCCAATAGCGCCAAAATTCAGCTCGTTCTTGAAGCTTTTGAAGAAAATCCTCCCTTTGAAACCACGACAGAAAACTGATAAATCCGACCAGGCATCTAATAGCTTGACTGAAGCTGTTCCATTGCCTGACGTTGTTGAAACCCCAAAAGACGAAGATCCCAATTCTAACGAAATTATCCCAGACTATTCTTACACCAAGCCACACAGACCCAGGCCTCCCCCAGCTCGGCTGCCGAGGCCGCAGGTGCCCTTCTACCCGCCTCCAGTGCCGGTGAGCCCGCTGCCGACCCAGGACCTGCTGAGCTGGCTCCAGAGCCTGCTGCCCGGGGCGCTTGCCGAGGAGCTGTTCCTTGAGCCGTGCCGCATCTCGCGCTCCGACCCACCGCCCAACGAGCCGCTTCAGATGCTGGAGGAGGTCACCGACATCGCCTGGCGGTTTCCGCGCACGGCCCAGGAGCTCAGCGTCCGGCTGGCGACCCTGCTGTACCGCACGCCGGCCGAGAAGTGGGAGCTGGTCAAGCTGCTGGCGCTGGACGCGCTCGACCACTCGCTCTGGGAGTCGGTCACAGACGAGGAGGTGGACGAGGTGGGCCGGCTGCTCAGCCAGACCATCGTCCGCCAGCTGAACCGGGCCGCCGGCTCGCTGCGCCGCTACGTGCCGACGCTGCCGCTGCTCGACGCCCACCATCTGATGCCCCAGCCGCGCGTCACCCGCCGCTTCGACGCAGAGTTCGGCTGCCAGATGCCCAGCGCCGAGACAAGCCTGGTCAAACTGCTGGGCGCCAAGGTGCTGAGCATGGCTCTGCACGCGCTGGCCGACAGTGGCAACATCTCAGAGAGCGTACTGCGGTACCAGCGTCGCAGCATCGACGAGCGCCTCTGCCAGCTGACCATCCTCGGGTTCGGGCTGGACGGCGCGCTGGGGGCCTGTCGGGAGGGCGGGGAGCTGCTGCGGTTCCCCTGGCAGGAGAGAGCTCACAGGGCGAGACGGGACATCCGCGGCTACTACGACAGTAGAGCGCAGCAGTGGGAAGTTGGCACGGGAAGGAGCTTCCTTTGGGAGCTGGGCACCATGGCCAAGCTGTTCTTCTTCCCACTGGTGCCTCTACTGTTCGTGGTAGCCCTGTGGAACCTGTTTCCAATGTATGGCCTCTGGAACGCTGAGTCCGCCCACCAAACAGCTGATCCAGTAGACAAGCTGACGGGAACAGTGCTACCTGCCATTGAAAAGCAGGAGCAGGTTTTCGGTGAGACGACGACTCCCCACCCGACCCCGACAACCACAGCGAAGCCGCAGTTCACCAATTACGCTGAACTGATAATACCGCGTTTTGGTGAGAAGCGGCCAGACAGCAATGGTGAAACGAAGAAAACCGAGGACACCGAACATACCAAACAGGCGGAAGAAGAGCCTGACAAGACACCCCCTCAGTCACAGTCAGAAGAGCTCCTCGGTCCGAACGAACCCCGACGGCCGGGCGACGAACAGACCCCTCAGACTGCGGCAGCTGGAGAGGAGGAGGCTGACGACATCCTAGCCCTGGTGCGTCAGGTCCTCGCCAGCAGTGACGCAGAACAGCACAGGGCCGGCCCACAGCCATTCTTCCCTCTCCGGCTCAGAGTTCAGCGGCACACTCTGAGACCGTGATGGCGTTTGTATGTTTTAATCTGTTGTATTTTTGAGCCGCCATGAGTTTGTATATAGCTGCCTGTGTTGTGTTGACTTTATTTGCCGTGTTTATATTTATGATTATGATGGTTGATGGTGTGTATTGTATGTTGTATGGTCGCTCCTGTGTTTTTATTTACGTATGGGTGCCGAGTACTAATGTACCAATAAACTGCAATATCTTGTCACCACAACGCTCATTTTTATCCGCTCCGGGTTGGGGGTTTCCGTCATCTTGATTTGGCACGAGAAGGAGGAATGATCAAAACGAGCACATCGCAGGAGTTGACAACTAAGCGAGATAGAAAAACGCAGAAAAATGTCACCATGAAACGAGCACTCTTAAAACAGTCGAATCAATTTATTTCGAGTCGATAATGAAATCACGATGCTGTCCAATGTCCACACCTTATCAAAGGTTAATTACAGAAGAATTGCTAGTTTATCTGGAAAACAGTGATCATTTTGGTAACAGGACATTGAAAGGGCGAGACAAAACGTAAAAACAATCAACAGCTCTTATCGTCATCTATTTGTTTGCCCGGTGACCGTCCTGCGTCGACGCTCTAGCGGCGCTTTTATGCTACTATATATAGCAGTGATACTATAGCAAAGTATATGTCGTAGGCATCGGGTGAAATCCGGCATTTCATGAAATGCCTAGGCATTCCATGGAATGCCGGCAAAAACTGAAATCTTCGTAGAAATAGGCGCGTTACAGCGAATGCCTGAAAATTTTAGGCATTTCATGAAATGCCAGGCGGAGGCCAGGCACTCCCTGAAATATGGTCAAAATTAACTGAGTACACTCGTTGCCTAGGCATTACATGGATTGCCCAAAAGACGACCGGCACTCTCTGTAACAAAACTTTTCGTACGCGGACGGTTGTGTGCATATACACGCCGACGGGCGGGAGGGGGAGGGACGTTATCGTATTGGTGTAAAATGGGCTAACACTACGAGATATTTCACGGATCGTCTCGTCTGCAGCGCAGCGTACCTACTTTATTGTTAGCTAGTACACAAATATTACACTGTGCAGTTATCGGCTTTGATTCTCTGAAGTGTGGGGTCTGCTGTGTTGGTCCATAGGCAGTAAAAAAAAAAAATATCGTCTGGAAACTCTCCTATAGAGACCGCATTTTCAAACAAAAGGTTCCAGAACTGTTTTATTATTTGTTGACACATGGGAGCGCTGCGTGGAACCGATTCGTACACATCATTCCAGCCTTCCGGCACTTGCACCTTTTGGTGTTGCACTGTTTGGCGCTGACCCGGCATGCACACTGCTTCATCCCTTGCCCTCCAAAAAGTGACTGCTCTCGGAACGCCTCTCTCAGGCCAAGAGTGCGATCTGTTCCGACCACCCCAACCTCGTTTGCATCGGTTTCCCGCAAAGCTGAGCGCGGAAACCAGCCCTTTATGACCCCGGCGCGCGTACTCAGCTGATACACATCATTCCTTGCATCAGTGATCACTGCGTGGATGTTAGCAGGATCGAGCGGCCCACGGTCCACTTTGGGCGGGAAGCGCGGGAAACCACATAGCTGCGGTAATCGTTTCAGAAAGTACCGGCCGTCAGTCGGGCATTTCATGTAATGCCTAGGCAACAAATGTACTCAATTGGTTTTGACCACATTTCAGGGAGTGCCTGGCCTCCGCCTGGCACTTCATGAAAAGCCTAAAATTTTCAGGCATTTGCTGTAACGCCCGTATTTCTACGAAGGTTTCAGTTTTTGCCGGCATTCCATGTAATGCCTAGACATTTCATGAAATGCCGGATTTCACCCGATGCCTACGACATATATAGCATATAGCTACTACATAGCAAAGATACTATATACTATATATCTTTGCAAACGGTTGGGCATGCTGCTAAAATGCAGCGTTTTTATAGCGCAGCTGAGCGCATTTCCACACGGCGAATGAGAGCTCTCCACGTAGCGTGATCTGTGCGTGCGCACCTGCTGACCCGCCCGCCCTGGCGCTTCAGAGCAAAGAGTGCTTCGCTCTGAAGCGGCATGGGACGCGAGCGCCGAGAGGATCCTTGCGTCGGCCTGTATCTCTGCTGCAGATTACTCCCTGCGATGGCGTGTAATGTATGGGAAGAATGAGCGCGGAGAAGTTGAGGGATGTCGTCCCGGCTGTTGTGCCGTGTGCACCTGAGTGCGTTTCGTTTTGGTTGGAGCCTAGACGCCGTGAGTGAAGGCGAGTCAGGTTGTTTTTTTATCGTGTATTATGTTGGTAGTATACGCGGGTACGCACAAACTTCATTGGTCTTTTGCGGGTTCGGTGGGGTTGGTGGGCGTTGTACTCTGCTCAAAGCCGGTTGGAGGGAAATGCAGCACCCTTTCACACTACACGCACCGTCTTTGAAAGCGCAAAGGAGCAGCATGGAAATAGTTAATTAGAGCCACACCTATTGTGCAGCGAAGGAGCTTAATTTTCACATCAATCGCGCCGAGTTTGTCTATTTCTATTTATGCCTAACGTTGACGAGTGTGTATGTTTTGAATGAGTAGCTTTGGCAGAACATCATGTGCTGAGGCCACCAGCATCTAGCGACGTGGTGGCGGTCGAGCCCAGCTAAGGAGACGCGGCGATTGTGTGAAGTGTGCGTGTGTGTGGGTGTGGGTGTGGATGTGCGCGCGGGCAAGTGTTTGCATGTTTTGAGAGTTGGCACCTCGAAATAAGCAGCGAGCGTTTGTGTCAATTCTCCATTAAATTTGCATCTTTTAATCAGAGTTTGTGCCAATAAACATGATTATGGTGATGTTGTTGATGATGATGATGATCCGAAACCCGAGTCAAATCAGATGGTGGCCGACAAGAGGTCACACTTATGCCAATCTCCCTTGACCCGTCCGTTGCTCCAGGCAAATAGTGGAGCTGTGTGGGCTGACACAAAACGGGCGTTTAGTGGTCGGCTCTAAATTAATGGGCGCTAGCTCGTAACTATAATAGCCACCGTCAAGTTGCACGTGTGCGGTCGAGCACGGTAATAAAGCACATTGTACTGCAGTGATTTTGAAAAGAGCAAGATAATAGCTTTGTTAGAATAAGATAAAAACATGTCTATGGTCGCCGAAGAATTACGTCGTCATCGTAATTCGTAGTGCTATACCGTAGATGGTGTGCACGTCGTGCCATAGAACGGGAGACGGGCATGACACAACGGCCGAAAACTGGACGACCAAGGAGGACAACGGCCGAGTGCGAGCGATGGTTGAAGTTTGCTTCAATGTTCTGCATGGAAATGAATCAGCTGGCATACGCAAATATGCATTTAACCCTCATTAGCAAACTGCTCTTCTGATTAAAATGTAACCCATTTGAAATGCATGTTGGTGTCAGCTAACCCATGTTCCTTTTATTTTAACTGGCAGAGGAAGACTGACTTACGCCATTGCAAGATATCACAGCTGCCTCTGGGACGGAGCTCCACAACTCGCCATGACTGAGCGACAGGCTAAAAGCAGCTGAACTGCAGACGTTTGAGCCGTATGGAGCCCTGCGTCTCGCCGATCAGCATGAAGAGAGAGGGCTGAACTGAAGCGTCCGAGCAGCTTCGTGAGCATGACACCGAATTCTGGAAAATGACGTTTTTTGGACAAAAAATGCTAGTTTTCGGCAGCGGGACGGGCCCGCATCGTACCCGAACTCATTTATCGGACGCTCTAGCTCAGAGGATTGACCCCGTGACGTCAGACACGTAACCGCGGTGATCTTTCGCTCACTGGACGGCGCGCTGAGCGGTCGTGTCATCTCATCCCACCCCCATCTCGACTGCCGCCTATGTACTAAGCGCTATGCTGTAGAGTGTGATGTTACGTACGTCGCGCCTCGTCTACGAAAGCGATATACCTACCTGTCTTGAATCCGTTGTAACCAATAGCGGTTCCAAGCGGTTAGGACAATCACATGCTTCTACGTTGGTAATTACGCTATGTTACATAGGTACTACGAAGTGATTTATTTCGTTATGTTATTTCGTGGAAGGTATTCATCTATGGAGGGTGTTGCATATCTTGGACGTGCCGGCTCAGGCCCAAGAGCGCTGCGTCGGCCGGCCGCGCGCCGCCGGCCCGCACGGCTCTGCCCTTTCGGAGGACCCGCTGGATGACGAGCCCGGAAGGCCGTCCGCGGCGGCAAGACGCAATGCGACGGCCCAATGCATCACAAGAGATTACTGTCGTCAATGACCAGAGTGGTCGGGACGGATCGAACCTTGCACAGTGCACGTGTGGGCGTGGATTGACAGCATCGGGTGCGGGGAGTTGCCGAATCACTGGAGCAGTCTCCTAGGTGATGATATTGGATAGATGAGTTCCTCTGCCAGCTCTCCAAGCTATGAGACTGGATTGGATTGGAGATTGGAGCATGTGTCCGCTGCGACTAAGACTAACTAAGCGAAAAAGAAAGACGCAGAAAAAAAGGCACAAATAGGCTCTTAACGTGTGCTTTCAACACTGTTCGATAAATGAAGTTCTGTGTAATATCGAGGTCACTTGTCACTGGAGGTCATCCATGTTCAGTTACTGAAGAATTGGCCATTTTTCGTAAATATAACTACCATTGAATATATACCTGTTGCAGAGAAGATTTTTTCACCTTCGATTGATATGGCCTTTTATAGACAAAATCCCCTTTTCCTTATTTAAGAAAATCCAGCTAGTGATTGTTTTAGCTAAATTAGTTTTTTTTGTATACCTCAGGTTTATAGGCATGTGTTTGGAATAAACAGTTACAGGTGAAAATTCAAAGCATTTCAAGTTTCAACTCACTCCTGAGAACAAGCCAAACAGGGGTAAATTGAAAATAGAATATATAGTCAACTCTGCTGATTATTTTTTATATTCTACTTTATCTAAGCATGAAACACGAAAACTGACAAATCCAAACTGACCAGCATGAAAAGCCAAAAAAAAAAAAAACAGACGTCTGCTGATGAAGGTAGCATTCCTTCATCCTCTACAGATCGGCTGGAGACCACAACTGAAACTCTTGCTTTGGAGATAGAAATTAGCATGCAAAAAAACAACACGATGCAAACATGGACACAAGGCAGTGGTATGCCAACGTCTCAAGAACAATAAGAGTTCTAGTAAGCTCCAGGACTAGGGTGATCGTGAGGCTGCGTGGCGTCAGAGAACCAGACGGAGACGGAAAAGTGGTATTTTGTAATTATGTCAC